TTCCATTGCATAATTTCTTTAATATGCCTGGAAAGTAAAAATAATTACAAATATAGGCCTAGCATAATAAGACCTAGATTAATCAAATTTTTTATAAACTTAAAAAATAAAAAAAAAATTTTACATTTTTTTTTTAAAAAACAATTCTTAAAAATTTTTTTAACCATTTTTTTTTTTAAAAAAAAAAAGAAAAAAAAAGTAAATTTAATAAAAAAAACACCAAATGTTATTTAATTTTCATAAATAATCTGCCGGCCCACGATATCGTTGCGACACTGCTGAGTTGTTCATAATTACAATTATTACCATCAATTTTTCGCATACATTAAGTTGCAGAAATATACAGAAGATTTTCCTTTACCTATTTCTTCAATTTATTAAAATGAATCTATTTAATCCTTATGTCTTAAAATATTCATCTATGTGAGTTTGCTGAGCAGAACTTGACATCATTCTCCTAATAAATTTTTCAAGAAAATTAATTAATTTTAATTGATCACCTGAGTCTTTCTGCTAAAGTAAAAACATCTGAACATTTTCTAAGCTATTCAACGCCAAGCTACCACTAACAATTGCGGGTTCTACACTATCATTTTCTTCTTCATCTATTACCTCAGTATTTCCTTCATTCATAACTTCAACACTTTCATCATTTCTGAACACATAAGCCAGCTTCTTAATGATTTGATTCTCTGGGAGGACTTCGTAAACAATCTCTTCACCATTAAAATTTAAGAATTTATTAATTTCCATCGCATTTGGAAGACAGAGAGTATCCAGTGACCTAATAAGACCTTCAAGCCTTGAATCGCCAGCTTCACGAAGATCATTTGAAAGATTTGCACTAGACAGGTGAATTTTTGTATAATGCCAGTAATTACGTATGGTTACAGCCGAAACCTCCTCCCAACCCTTTATGATATACAAGATTGCTTGTAAAACATTTATTTTCAAATCCTGAACAAGATTACTTGCTTCGACTTGCTCCAACATTCACCTAATATTTTTTTAAAAATTTTTTTTTTAAAATCTGGATCCAATAGACTACTGTATCATAATAAATTAAAGAGTAAAATTCAATACCAATATCCAGCCCTGTTTCACTGATAGTCTGCTTCACTGACAACCTTATTATTAAGGACCGTATTATGTAATCGGCTGTTACTGAATAGACTATTAGTGAAATGGGACTATCAGAATTGTGGCAAATTAAACAAAGAATAAAATAATAATAAAATGAAGAATGAGTAAAACAATCAAAAAAAAAAAAATAGAGATAAAATATATAGTACAATAACTTACTGAAGATGAAAACGATGATAGGCTCTTTTAAAAGCCATGATAATTCCTATGTCCATGGGTTGTATCCTAGAAGTTGTATTTTTGAGTAAAAAATGTACATCTACATGCCGGAGGGTTAGCCTATCTAACTTATGACTAGAACAATTATCAAGAAGTAAAAGAACATGCTAGCCTAAATGCTTTTGCAACATTTGGTAGTTGAAATCCTAAAGCCACTCTTGAAAAAGAACCACAAGCATCCAAGCCTTAGCATTGCTTCTATATGTCATGGGCAAGTTATTAATTCTCACATTTTTGAAACATCGGGGTTTGGCATATTTGCCAATTATAAGAGGGGCCAACTTATGGGATCCATTGGCATTCGCACATAATGCTACAGAAATACGTTTCTTATTTTTTTTGCACCTTGCAATTCGTCGAATCGCTAAGGTTCGATCTGGTTCCAATCTAGAAAGAAAATTTTTTATTAAAAAAAAAAAAAAAGAAAAAAAAATTTTATCAAAAAAAAAAAAACTACTGGTAAAAAAGCCTGGTTTCATCCATGTTATATATGCAGTCAAGAGGGTATTTAGAGCATTTACTTTGCAATAAAGATAAGGATTCAGTAATAACATCCTTATCAACAGAACCTGCTTCTTCATGAAGCTTTATTTAACAGATTCCATTTCACTCTTTAAATTTTTGGAGCCACTCAGAAGAAAAATGTAACTTGCCTTCAGGGACTCCAAGTTCATCTGCTAACAATTTTGCTTTTTTGATCATCATGGCATCGCTTAGAATAGTGTGGTGTTGATAGATTAATATGAATTCCTTGAGTGCTAGCTCAAGCTCTAGTACAGTAACGGTCCTATATCACTTGGCTTCTGAATTTATGATTTCATTTGAAAGTCATTGGTCCTTAGTTTGTAAGATTTGAGTGATCGTAGACTCATTAACTTTAACCTCCTATTTATCTTCAATCCACTTTACGTATTCCAGACAGGTTCTTTTGTTATTATAGGCATAGACACAGAATTCAAATTTTTGATTATCTGTTAGAGTTATTCTTTTAGGCATTGCCAAAAATATTATATGAATTTTTTTTTTTTTTTTTTTTTTTTTTTTAGAAGAATGCTAAAGCTTTATTTATTGAAATTTAGAAATCACTAAAGCACCTAAATCACTATTAAAATATGCCATCATTTTTTTTTTTTAATTTTTTTGTTTAATTGTTAAAAGGTTCATTGAAAGAGTTAATCAAAAAGATTATGAATTGAACAGATTTTTATAGTTAGAATAAATTTCTTGTGCTAGTTTTTAAGATATAAGTTTAATCAATCCAGATTTAT